TTATAGATGAAAACAGACTACAATGCTGGTGAACAAGCTCTTTCAGGACACTTCCAATAAATAGTAATTTCACAATTTTATTATTATTATTATTATTATTATTTAGACCAAAGAGCCACAGTCACTCATGCTTCATTCATGAAAAATGCCAGGTCCAATATTTTCATGTACTGCACTATGTTTATAAAACCTCACTGTTTCAAGCGCGAGCAGTGTGTACTCCCAAATGAAGTAATTTTTTATGCAGTTTTGGGAGAGAAAACAAATGTCTTGCGTCTTTTGGAGCATGTATCAGCCCTAAGTACTTGCCCTCTGGTGGGCTCCTCCACTCCTGCATGGTCGACTGTGGAGGCCCGTCCCTGCATTCTGAATGTTGCTGCTATTTATTCTGGCTACAGTATACTATATATTTGAATCTGTATTCAGTATTTGATCATTATAATTATAATGTGTATATTGAGAGCCACTCGCTCTGATTTATGCAGGATTGTCCCAGAATGTTTCATGGCCGGTGTATTTCATTTGACTGACTACCCCCAAGGAAGCAAATCTTTCATGGCAACTGTCTTATCTGCCCTGGTGAAATAATATACTAGATTCAGTTTGGTGATTTCCACAGCTGAAAATATGAAGTTACCTGCTAATTCTAAGTGCTAATAATATTTTAAGTACCTAGTTCTGTTGTATTATTTAGTAATGAAAGTTTTTTACAATATCTTTTTAATTTCCTTTTTAATAGTGATAATGATTTCCTTTGACCTTGGATACTTATGTTTTAAATCTGTGAAAAACATGTTCTTTTACAAATGTTTCTCTAACAGGAAACAAACGATGACTCTCTCCAACCCATCGTGACAATTTCAATTAGTTCTTCTTTTCTGAAAGAGATTATTTCTGAGAGATGAAGTAATGACAGTGTGAGTGAAAATAATGAAATGTAATCAAACGTAATGACAGCATCTCTGACAATAATAATTTGACACCGTTGTCACAATAAAGAAAAAATATACATCTACAGTGGAAAAGTAGCCCAGTCACACATCTATGGCAGCAGTGATAGCCCATAAAGAACATGCAGCATCTTTACAGTGTGACATTGAGATGTGTTTGGTTCAGTGATTTGGGAGGTTGGTGCCAACAGCTGACCTTTTCATCATGGTGGGAGTATACAGTAATGGCCATGACATCTCTGACATTCACTGTGCGGGGAGCACTACAAGGCAAACACGCAAGGTCGTGGCACACTCGCAGTTTGGCGCTTCCAGACATTGACACTCACAGCTGTGAATGCTAATGAGACATGTTTTGTTGGTGAAAAGACTCTGTAATTGGCTGCCGAATCACACACACGCTGTTATTATCAGGTCAGCTCTCAGACCCCTGGCTCGGAAGGGGTAACAAATGTAATATTGGCGGCGAGTGACTCGTCTTGTGACTCGTCCGACCTTTATAAAGTACAGAGCAAACAACAGTAGAACAGTTAATCTGACCTTTTTTTGATTAATCGCCTCTAAACTACTTATCTATGGTAAGGACATTTGTATTTGGTGCTGAGCTCATTTAATGTCAGAAGAATTGTGGTATGTTATTGTATGTTATGTGGTATGTATGTTATTGCGAATCATATTGTGTCATGACTTTAGCATCCCTAATGATTTCTCTGACTGTTTTCTGTCCACTGAAAAGAACGTTTGGACTGAAACTGCCAAGAGAAGCATCATTAAAACAAGATGGTAACATTCAAAAATGTGCCTAGAACAAAGTCTGAAGCTTCTCATAGCTGCGATGATAGTTGATGATGTTATTTATGTTTATGCAGGCATATTGTATATTGTAAATGCAGTCAGGTTTATTGCAACAGAGGTGAACTTTTCCTTACCGAATCTGAGAATATTAAAGTTAAGTAGATAAACTTATTATATAAAAGATGCTTTTTTTATTGCAGACGGCCCTCTCTTTTATTGAACAAAATAAAAACTGTGACAAAAGTCTTAACCCAGACAGTAATAATCGATAAGCTCCATTTCAAGCTCTGCACACCGCAGTTTAACTAAAAATTGATTAATCATTTCAGAAACGGAGCACAGTTTTCTCTGCTGTTCTTTATTTGTGAACCCATTTGAGAACTCCCGTCTGACAGTTCTTCCTGAGGCAGCAGATCATCAGGGAGCAGAGGAAGACAGACAGAGACCGTGGCTTGAATTTGCAAAATAACAGAACTGCACTGTCAAAGTTTTTTGAGGTATTTTTCATCCTCTGGCTGAAAAGTTGCACTGTCTGGCTCAGGTCTAATGGGATGTTGACCTGATCGTAGTCCTGCCTGTCAAACATAATCAGTCTAGGTAAGGGGAGTGAACGAGGGGAGAGCAGTGTCCCCCAGAAAGCAATCCTTCAGCCCATCCAAAGGCGGAGGTGAGAAACGATGTTGACAGAAGACAGTTGGGAGCCAGTGTTTGGGAAGTGAAAATAAGGAAACATGCAGTCCAATCTGTACCGCCATCACGCACGGCAGCGATGGGTAATTATGTTTAATACCGCAGCCTCCAACAAATTAACCAGTGAGGGTTAAATGGAACGTTTAAATCTCCGGAGGATTGGGGCAGCTGCGTAAATGGGGATTATCCGAGGCACCATTAAGTAATGCTCTCATTGAAGAAATGCTAAGGAATTGCAGAGCATGTCGTGGCCACACTGTGGACCGTGAAGAAATGAGAAGTAAAAGTCTGTTTTTCTTCTGTGTCAAGAAGTTTGTTTGAGTATAACCCACCAAAAACAGCTCTGCCAACTCTCATACCTGCAAAGGATGATTGAGTGGTGCTGTGAAATTTATCTGCTGTCCTCCTCACTGTACAGCCAGCCAGTTGCAGCGTGTCATTTATTTTGTTAGGATACATATCTGTCGAGAGCATCTCTGTTTCGCAGAGGTGAATGAACTCATAATGCGACACTGTAACGTGACACTTCATGTTCCGCAGATTTGCGGGGACCGCTGCTGGAGTGTGGCATTAGGGAGTCCATCAGTCATGTTGGTCAACCATTCGTGAGATGAAAAGGGTCAATAAAGTAGGAGGAGCATGAAATGAAAATCCATCTCAGTCCACCTTAAACCCAGCCAACGGTTACACACTCTTCATTAGTAGTCCTTTCCAGCAGTGAGAGAACATGACGTCCGCCCGTGTCCTCAGATGAAGTCCTGGTCTTTTACTGCAATGAAGTCTGTGGTCACCAGTCATCTCTAATAACATTAGCCCCAAGAGACAACAGTAAAGTACAACAGCAAATACTGTTAGATTTCCCCCCACCCCCCTTTTTTATGGTTAGGACACAACGGAACACGACCTTAAGTGTTTTCTTGCTCCTTGTTAGCACCTTATTAAAATTATCAGTACCCACAATTACCGTTTCTTACTGCTTGTTAAACACGAATCCTATTGAAGTATCAAGCTGTGGCACTGTGATAAAATTACTTGAATAAAGGTGGAGTGACCGCCACGCTTGTGATACAACAAAATCCATTGTTAAAGCAAGGGTCTCAAACTCCAGGCCCACAATCCACTTTCAGCCTGGGAAACCACCCACCTGTGGCCCCCAACTACATGTCAGTACAATGTGAGCTGACCCCCTGCTGGCAGTTCTTGGTCCTTCAACCAGACGGCAGGGGCAACAGTTGCCCCCCGGCTCAGGTTATATCCCTGAAGCTGAGGTTAGGAGTTATTGCTGGGTTATATATTAACTAGAATTACAGTGTATGATTTGTTGGGTTCAGGGTAAATAGTATGTTAATACTGGGTGTAAATAACTTCATGACAACACAGGGCCACAGTAAATGGAGCACAGAACTGTATATTATGGTAAAAGGTGACACAGTAATCATACTTACATTAGTCTGGAAGCTGTAACTTATTTCAGGGCAAATGAATATTTTGCTAAGGTTCAGAAAGCCTGGCTGTTCGTGGATTATTTATTAACAGAACGGCTCCGTTTCAGCCGGTCTTTGCAGAATTGATGTTGTCATTATTCATGAGTGACGACCTCACACACTCACACACACATGCATAACATACATACGCATGCTGCCCATGGTTTATTGGAGCCGCTTTCCTCAATGATCTTTTATTCATTAGCGCCATAACATCCATCACGTGCCCCGTGGTGAGGCGGTGGTAGATGTTGGTGTTGGTGTTTTGGATAATAGTAGAAAAGAGCCTGACAAAAAGGTGCTGGTGTAGGTGGTTGGTTCTGTAGCTGGTTTTTGTCAGCGTTGTTTATTTGTGTTATTTGTTTCTGCTGACGTTTGGTTTCACCATAATGGAGCTGTACGTAATGAAAATGTCTCCACTACAACTTGGATTTCTTCCCACCCAGATCTACACCAAACCAGAAAAAGTCAGAATTAATGTCAGAAATGTCTCTTTAATGGTTTATCTAGTCCTGGTCTGCTAATGTAGAGCAATGGAGTAACATTGCTAAGCTAAATGAACCTAACTGTATTCGAAGATGACCAGTGTGTTCCTGACTCGTCAACAACAGGCCCTCTGGTGTGGACATTTCGTATTTAGAACAAAAAACATTATTTCCTTTTATTCTCTTCAAGTTAAGACTGAGACATTTTTTTTCTCAGCATAAAGAGGACCTTGAGTCATTGTTTTCAACTCTAAATTAAAACGGGACAAGCAATGTAATTAGAAGCTCAGAGAGCGTGATTGTTATGACTGCAGCCAATATTGTTATTTTTTCAGAGCCTACCACGGGAGCCCTCAAAACATTTTCATGGAAAAACAGAGGAGTGTTTCTTGTTTTGTTTTACTTAATTTGATTTATTTACTCATTAAACTATGCAGTTAGAAATCCCCGAGTTAATTTAATTCTTAAATTCTAGTTTTACAGCGTATCCAGGAATCTGAAGAAGTGAAAACTTTTTTCATTCGGACTCATTTAAGCAGTTTTTGTTCCAGTGTTCCGGCTTTTTACAGAGTTCTTCTCTCTCTGTGTTTGCTCAGGTGTTCACCAGATACGGGAAGTGCTACATGTTCAATGCTGCCGAGGAGGGAAAAATGCTCCGGACCACCATGAAGGGAGGCACAGGAAACGGCCTGGAGATCATGCTGGACATCCAGCAGGATGAGTACCTGCCGGTGTGGGGAGACACAGGTAACGCAGGACACACACACATGTTGAACACACTGTTTTCTTTGAGAGAAAAGGCAGGATTCTCAAGTTACTTTCAGAAATAGTTTTGTCTTGAGTTCTGACAATATGTTAATTTTCCCTTTTATTTTAGAGTCACATTTTCAGATACTGCTTAAAAACTAGTCTGAGTTGTAAAAAAAAAAAATCAAAAGAAGAACATTTTGAAACATTAAACCCATTTATGACTTTATTCAGAATATCTACTTTTAAATTCCTAAGGTTAAAAGTCTTGATTAAAATAAATCCATTTCAACTAATGATCATAAAACTTCATAAAATCTGATTTTTTAACAGAGACAGAATTCATTAATTAATTATGTCATGACTAAGAAATAATTAAAAAAAAGTTTTAATCCATAATTTTAAAGGAATAAAAGTTTCTAAGATATTGATACTACTGCGATTAAGTTAAAGATTTTTGAATTAAATGTTTTTGTATTTTTCAACTTGTTTTCACATACCACAAATCCTTTAATAAATCTGTTTGTGTGCAATATTAACAAAGTTCATATTACATTTTCACCATAAACAATATTAATAAATAGAGATGTTAAAAAAGAGAGCTTTAAATATTATTCTATTTTTTTGGAAATACTGAATAATCTTTTAAACAAACCAATGAAGCCCCAAACACAAGGTTCCTGGAATCAGGATCCGAGGATCAAGAACATCACATTTACCCTTCTCTGCACCACCAATATTTGGTTGCACACACAGAGCTTCAGAAGGTTTTAGTCTACTGAGCTTCTTATTCCTGAAGATATTGCTTTTATTTTATGAAAGTTTATATATATATATATATATATACATACACACACAGGTGTCACTTTTTTCGCAAATCTGGTCTTTGTTCTGTATTTCAATATAGTTGCATTTCATAATGTTGACATAAAAAGATTTTTTTCTCCTGAACTAGAGAAAAGAAATATCACATTTAAGTAAATATTACTGTATGGAAGATGTAAAACCTTTTTTTTCCCCTCACCTTCGAGCGTCATATGTTTTCTTTCAAATTCACCCACATTGACCGTACCATCTACTGTTCAAATGAAATAAAGTTACAGAACAATAGGTATAATCTGCAAATACATAAATACCACTATGGCTGTGTGGTTTTAATACATTTTTAAACAAACTACACCAAACTTTTCAAGTTCTCAGTGGAAGGTTGATATTTTCCCTTAAGTCAGATAGCGCAAGGAAAAGTTAGAAAACCAAAAGTGCAGCCACGAGAGTAATGAGTTGGTTGAGAAATAGGTAAAAAGAGAATTCAAGTCTATTTCAAAATGGCTTCTGTTTGTCAGAGTTGTCTGCGTGTATACGTGTGTGTGCTGCAATTTGAATAAAAGAGAGGTTTCCGGATTCTACACAGCTGGATTTATTTCCTGGTTGTGCACACCAACCAACACTTGACGTATTTTAATCTGCAGACTTTCACTAATGGTCACCACATGAGCTGTTTCCTAACAAAGAAGCAAAAAAAAAAAATAAAACTATTGTTTTCACAATAATAAGTGGTTTGCTTCCTTTATGTCAGTAGACACTGTTGTGCCGCAGCACATGCTAAATTAATACTAAAAGAATTAAAGGAAAACGGAAGCAAACCAGCAGTAGCCTAGAGTTAGCCAGACATCGCTACTGATATACCATACATAGCTAAGGTAATAGCTAACTTGCCCATGTAGCCAAAGCTACAAATGAGCTAAAAACACAAAAGTTCAAATGTGTTTTCATTGGCCAACTAAAACCTTGCCAAGTAAATGCCTAAAAGCCCCAACTTTACCATTTGATTTTGTTTACTGTGTTTTTTCATTGAAAGTACTTTTGATTTAATAATTGTTTTATTTATAATGTTAATCTAATTTTATCCTGAATTTGGACTTAGTGTTAAAATTTTTTTTCAGTAGTTCAGCGTTGGTGTGTCATTGTGAAGCTGGTCATCTTGAATGCTTATTTCAATGGCACTGGTTGATTTATGCCTGCACAATGTTCCCAAAGCAACCAGCCAAACTACAAACTGTCCAGCAGATGGACATTATTCACTCTGGGCTCCAACAAGAGGAAGCTAAATCATAAAAAAAAACACAGCTGAGAAACCTGGGCTCAGCTTCCTTTCCTTTTCAACAGGCTGTGGTTGAGTCACCTCTCTGATGACATGCAGAGCAGCATCTATCAGCGGGCTCTACTTCTTTTGTGGCCTCGTTTGTTCCTGTGCAGTTTAATTAGTGTAGTGGAGCTGAGTCAGCCTCCACAGGAAGCACAGTGTCTTCTTAACCAAGCCAGGTCTATTTTCTTCTGCAGACACAATGGGCAGGAACTGCACCCCCATCTCCATGGTTCCCTTTTCTTTCCCAAACCTGAACCTCCACTGAGGCTTTTCTTGATGTCTGTCGCCCCAGAGAACAGCACATGGTCCCTGGGGTTCTGTTAGCACGATGTTCTACCTAAAGCTTTTTAGACCATTCCATGGCCATTAGAGACAACATTATGTGAAAAAAAACCAACCAACAATACCATGTCTCATGTAAGAAAAAAAGACAGATATACATTTGAGTGGAGAGAGAAAGCTGTCTGTTGCTTGGTTACTAAGCTTTATATTATTACTATGGTACTGACCAAACTGCTGTCAGCTCATCTATTAAATAGGCTTCACTCCTATGACAGGAGTATTTTCAACTGTCTGATGAATGTTAGTATTAAAGATCAATAAACATTTTCATCCAAAATAAATATAAAGATAACATAATATGATTTTTTATTTCAAAAATATTGAGATACTGTATATAGTTTTATTTTATTTATTTATTTTCAATTTTAACTTGCTGGTACTAACTGATCTCTGATTGGCTGTATTAGTTTTAAAAGACTTGACTTTAAAAACAGTCTCAGGCAAAGCTAAATACCTAATAAGCTTAGTTTTATTTATCCATTCTTACTCATTAAAGGAAAAAATGTCGGAATTAGCCTTTAAATCAGATGTTTTGCCATCTCGTTGCAGGTAGAGTAATAGTTTAGATTAATGTAATCCATAAACGATAAAAACATTTTAAGGAAAGAAAGAAATACCTAAACATATGTTAAAAAAAATTAAATCTAAAATACAATAACAATAAAAAAAGAATTAAACCGCTAAATATTAGCCTATGATGCAAAAAACGTTAACAAAAAAATTCCCTAAAAATCTGAAAGTAAGTTAAAGACAGCAAAAAACATTTAGATGTATCCTTGAAACACCTAAAAGTGGTAGTAGGTAGTAAAAAATAGCCACAATCTGATGAACAAACTTTTCTGCAGTGACTTTATCTCAGTAACAAGAAAAAGACTTTATTAAAAACCCAGACTATAAAATTATGATTACATTTAGGTACATCCACTGAGTTCAGGTTTATTTAGATAATGCTGCTGCTTAGAGCCTTGCATTTTAGAGTTCCTAAGGTTAATCCTGGTGGGTTCGCCTTTGTCTGTATTAACAGTGTGACTGATGGAGCGATGAAGAATTGAAGAGCTAGCTTGCACAATAGTTTGAGCTAATCACTCCTCCGTCTTTATCGTCTCACTGGGAGTTTGAGAGAAATGTCAGACTGACTTTTTCCTCCTGTTAATATTAGATGTATTTTTGTCTCTGTTTTCGTCATTCGACTTTGATTTACAAATAAAACAAACAGATTCCCGCTGCTGTGTTCTATTGGCCGTACTTTGACTCCAGATGAACACATCCTTCGTCTGTGCGTTCGCTTCTCCCCTTCTGTTTCCTATCAATGCACCATATTATCGCTAATAAAACCCCACATGTGTTCAGAGTGGTCCAAAAACCTGCTGTGCCTTTGCAGGGTTTGCAGTTGTATCAAAGCTGAGAATGTGGGAAGAGAAAACAAAAATATGGATGCAGCAACATGTTAAACCAAGAGCAGAGTGAAAGTGGAAAGATTCTCCATCCATGTATCATTTCTCACATCCTCAAGTCAATGTCACATTCATGTCTGAGTTTTTATTTTGATATTTTCTTCTCTAGAGATTCCTGTTCATCAACCAATGACTTCATAAAAGAGTCTGTGCTTTAACATAAGAGAAACTATGTTTAATTTTCTTTTAAGTTTCAACTAAATGTGGTTATTTTTATGAAAGCAAAGGTCCTCAACCACTCGGCCCTCAGACCAGCCTTCCGCCATTTGGCAGCTGGCTGCAGAGAAAAATACAAACATTATTTGTATCTATTTCTTGTTGTGTACAGTGGTTCTTAATACTTATTTTCAGCAATTTAAATACTAAATTACTTATGTGCAATTGCTGCTATTTCTTTAGAACAAATCAGTGCAACGGAGAGAGATGATCATTTTCTTCGGAATAATCAAGCTGCTCTCTCATACTGTAAGTATGTAGTAATGTTGATTAAAACAAAAGTGCAATTCCGGGAGATTTCACCATGAGTAGGTTTAATTAAGTGTTAATCAAAGTCAGTGGTTTCCAACAGTTGCAGTGCAACAGAAATAGCAGCGAATTGCACATAAATAATTTAATATATAAATTGCTGGGAATAAGTATTGGGAACCACTGTTCACAACAAGAGACCAGACCAGGGCCAGTGGTTGAAGACCTTCGCTTTACTTTTCTAGATTCATAAAAATAACCAAATTTTGCTGAAAGTTAAAAGAAAATTAAACATAATTTCCCGTAAAAATCAACAAGGGGAAATAACTAGACTGAACTGCACTTTTATCTTCATTTCTAGATCCATCAAGACATAATTGTAGAGTAAAACCAGGTCCATCTGATTTTTGATTGTTTTTCCAATGTTACCTTTACCATAATCTCTGGGGCTGTAGTGCTGTTCTGCTCTACCTCGATACAACAAGCATCGATATGTAATTGCTTTTGCTCAGAACACTGTGTTCTCCTGACACTTCTTGCAGAGGTGACATGATTTTCCTTCCAAGAAACACAATTCAGCTGCACCATCATGAGCTGCTCTCGTCTTCATTTACTGCTGCTTAGAGAACACTTTTTTTTCCTTTGCAATTTTGTTGCAAACAGTGATCTCTCTCTCGCTGTGTGTGTGGTTAAGTCATTTGCCACACAAACAACACATTGTTGAAACAAGGACAACATAATGTTCAGCTCAGTATGGTGCAGATACTCTGCCGCAGGTGTTGTTTTTAAGTGAAGGTGAGATGTAAAGGTGGGGTTTTTTTGTGGATAAATACAAAACAAAAACAGAAAACAAGTGGAGTTTATAGGATTTTAAATACTCTGTACCCAACAAACCTGTAGATTATACAGTAATATAAAAAATATTTATGGCTAAACCAAGCTTAGATCTATAATAATGGTCTGGCTGAAGTTAAAAAAGAACATTACTGCAGACAGTATTGATTTGGCTGAGCATCTTCTCATGTTTAATCTCGTTATAACTTTGCAGATAACTTTTTACAGGTTTCCTGGTTTTCTGTTTTTTCAAAGGTTTGGTTTGTTCTTGTACATGGTCAAGTCCCTCAAACTGTAATCATTTTTAAAGATAAACTGGAACTGTCGAGATTTGGATGACCTGTCTCCATTAAATTAATGAGTGATGAGATCATTTAGTAAAATCTTCAGAAAACTCAAGCTTGTCCATGGTCCAAATCCAGGCCTCCAGGGCTAAACTCCAAATTGAAATTCTTCCTGCATTCAACGCTGACCCACTTCAAATAACAGCTGACATAAATGTATCATCAGACGGGGCTTGGATTTATGCAGCATTCTGTTTTTACATTTTATGATTTATTTGTTCAACAATTTATACATAGAAAAAAAAATAAAATAAAATAGTCTCTGCGCTTTGATACATTCATTCACAACAGAAGTTCCCCTGGTAGAATTACCTTGACCTGACGGCCTTCAGAGTACCAGTGCTAGACACATGTTTTTAGGGAAATAGTTTTAGAGAGAAGAATTATCTGATTTCCAGGCCAGGGCATGGAAAGGCCAAGCTTTTTCCATAAAATCTGTTAATAAACTACAACAGCCAAGCTAAGTCACTATGCTAGTCACAAAATTCTGTTTAGCCAAGTATGTCTTGTTAGAAAATTTTTCTGAAATCGTTGACTTCTTTGTTTCTGTCTCCTGACCTTTGACCTTCCCTGTGGTGCACTTGCTTTTCAGTTGCTAGGATAGGTACAAAGCCATTTTTTAAAATATGTTCAGCATTTTTGGTCATTGTCTTCAAAATGTTTCATTCTTTCACAGAGGTTTTAAAAAAAGTAGTTCTCAGTCTTCTACTCATCGTCTTTGTCTGTGGTGAGTAATTGGAAAAACCTCTGCAAACCAGCCGGTCAGTAATGATGTGGTCAAGTACCTTTTCATATGGCAGAGTAAATGCTTTTTCAGTTTTTACTGGCTTTTCAACACCTGTAACTCTAAGTCACTCACTTTTACATGTAGCTGAGATTTACATTTGGAGCCCTGCTGTGACAGCAAGGACACAAATATGAACCATGATAGGCTGTTAAGATACAACTGCAGATGGAAGAGTCTCTGGCACTGAGAGGGATTGAAAGCTTAACATGCTCCGTAGAGCTGTCTACACCAGGAGTACCTATCTATGGAGTCTAGAATACATGCTTAACTATAGGTTTTTCATATGCACCTGCCGTGATACGAGCAGATTCTTCCTCATTCACAACAGTCACGTCCTCTCCTGTCATATCTTTTAGCGGCTCGATGTAGAATCAGTACAAAATGCTTGAAGGAGAACAGAGGTGAAAACACAACACCGGCTGAATAAATTGTCTGGCACACAAACCCGCGGCATCCAAATTCAATCTTTGTCCCTTGTTCTCCGAGTCAATCTAAGTTAATAGAGATTGACGGTGCTGGTGATGAAATAAATGCTGTTGTAAGTACACATCTGTGTCGCTTCATGTGACTCTGCTCCAGCCTCATCCACATCCAGCAAACGTGCTTATCCCTGATTCTCTTCATCATCTTCTGATAAGATAAGAGCCGAACCGACTCCGCTACAAACACCGACAGTCCATCCTGTTTTTGCCTGCTCTCCGACTCTCTCTTAAACCTTCACGCAGGCTGATGTTTCATCAATCGTTCAGACAGAAGGGTGCAGCATGCAAACGCTTAACNNNCCTCATCTTTATTCTCGGCAGGAAAACGGTCCGAAATGGTCAACGTGTTGAGTCTTGTTCGGTGCAAGTTAATGTCTGGCTACAGAATATTGTGGCCCTAATTTCTAATTTAATTTTTTTTTTTTTTTTTTGTGATTTCCTGCTTTGTATTATGCGCAAATGCAGCCAATCAAAATGTGTTTGGAACATTTGTCAAACCAGCTTCAGTAACATTATTGCCCCTCATCTTCCCAAAGAGACTGTCAAATTCCTCCGAACAAGGTGGAAACTTTGTACCTCTTACATGAATTCCTTGTCTTTGTTGACAACACTCAATCCAGACCTAGAGCTTTAGGAAGACCTCATGGCTACTGCCCTCTGAATGAACTTCTTCAGAATTACTTTATGTTTCAGTTAATTTTGATAAAGTTGCCTAGCTGTACTTGAAACTACAAACTGGAGCAGACTGTTTTCACCTCAACAGTGACCCCACTTCTTATCTTTTTACAGTTTAATTCAGGTTATATATACAGTATATGTGGATGATATTTTTCTTTATATTTGGATTTGTTTGCCGTGCAGTTTTTAGCTTAAAACATATATTCGTAAACCACACAAACATCTGGAAAAGATCAACGGGGGAGGTGGGGTTTTTTTGGGTTTTTTTCATAAAATGTTCCGTAAAATGCAACCAAACCATGTTTATTCTGTTATTAGTATTATTCCGCCAGCCATGCAATTATGTAAATTTAATTCAATATTAAGGCTTGTGAAAGCTCTGTTTTTTTACATGTAATATTCATGTGGTGGGTTATGACCTGTGCATAATGTTGCATATACTGTAGGTCTGTGACGAGTCAGTTTGATTAATGCAGCACACACAAGTTTATCTGCAGCAGTGCAGTCAGAAATGTATAAATGTGATAGAGTTGATGGATTGCACGAGAGGAATTTGTTTGCAGTGGGTGACAGAATTTTATCAGACTATTTACCCTGACGGTAGTTTTTTGTTTTGTTTTTTTAACACTGTCTTACAGGCTGCAGAGCGGAGGCCGAACCAGACGGCTTCTTCTTCTCTGTCTTAATTGTTGACTTTAATGGAGGAATATGTCAGTGAGCACATTATGGCTTTTTGATGTGCTTTTAATCAGTTTTGGTCAATGGCGGCCAGTTATCTAAGATCAGTTTGGTCAATGGCTCTTAATGAAGCATCTATTCAACAATTACTGTTGAAATGAGCACTATACCTGTGCTTTCCTTTTACCTTCCACAGCAACACATTTTAGTTTTCTATTTTATTTCATGTAAAATCAGTCATTAAACCAGTAAAGAAAAGACCTCAAACTACTTCATATACGTTTTCTTCAGTGCAGTTGTAGAGTAACCCACTGGTATAAAAAACAAAAATAAGAAGAATTTCTGATCTCTTTGGCTGAATCTGAGTGTTTCCAATCTGTCGTCCCATCAGTCACCGACGACATTTGATTGATAAGCAAATCAACAGAAAGTGACAGCTGCGCTTACCTTCCTGCATGTTCATTTACTTTTTTTTTTTTTTTTTTAGTTTTGCCTTGTTGGAACTTTTTTTAAATTTACTGGTTGCTAAGCAGCTGTGGGTTTTTGTCAGGTCATCATGCACTGAGACCGTGACTGGTGTGAGCAGAACTGGGACCTGGAGAAAAAAACATGATGCATTTAACATGTGTGCCTGTTAATGTGTCCGTCCAAATGTTCATGAACATTGATCTATGTAACTCCAGTCAACCTTCCCTATGTGCCATTGACATCAACACAAATAGGACAATATACTGTATATCTGAATGAACAACTAAATACTAAACACATCACTTAAATCAGTGGCTTTTGGGCAATGGTGCAAAAGCTCCATCAGTAAACGGCAGTTTCAAACAGGAAATTCAATTTTTTCCCAAGTGTTTTTCTGTCTTTCTGTTCTCTGAGCTGTATGTCTGAGACAGTCGAAAAGCCAAAGGCCCTTTTTTATTGACTGAATAAATCAGTTTATTGGGCCTCTCCATCTGTCTTCTTTTCAGAGGATACAGCCTTTGAAGCTGGTGTGCGAGTGCAAATCCACAGCCAGGCGGAGCCGCCGTTTGTTCACGAACTGGGATTCGGAGTTGCCCCCGGCTTCCAGACTTTCGTTGCCACACAGGAGCAGAGGGTAGGTGTGCCTGATGTAGCGCTGATACCCAGTTAATGGCTTTTTTCTTTAATCTTTTCTCCTCCCTGTGCTGTTTTTCCTCTTTAATCCATGTGTTTGCTTTTCTCACACCAACGTTAAAAGAAACAGTGATAAATACTTCACTTTCCCTCGTGTGATGGGATTTCTGCCTTCACCTGTGTGACTGCTGTGTAGAATGGTGCAGCTGCATGTGCGTCGCCCTCTGGCCCCTCAGCCGGCCTCTGCGGTTTTCTCTGAGATTGTTGCCCCCCCCCCCTCTGTCATTGGCTGTGACCTTGCTGTTGGAGAGATGATTAACTCCAGCTTAACCTCACTCAATCATTATGAAGCGTTTTTTTTTCTCCGTCACTGAAGGCCAACATTCAAGGCTGCAGATCTGACAGATATTTAATGCTAATTTTATTTTTCTTTCCTTTTCTTTGCTCTGCCACATCGTCTTTCATTTCAAGGAGTTGCTCCTCATGTTTTCCTCTTTCATCCTTTTATACTGCCATGGTAAATAGTTTGAAGTGTTCTTTAATACCTTTTAATTATTGTTAATTAATTCATTTTTTGAGGTTCTATCAGCCAGGAGCTCTTGGATGTTAAACCCCCAACCCCACTCCTCCATATAGCACATAAGAACTTGGTGTTAAAAACATCCCGCATAACTCTGAGGAGACTCAGAAATCAGAAAAACTTTGTTCATCTCCAGGGGGAAAATGTCAAGTGTCATATTTAAAATGAAGACAACGAGATTCTTACTTTCATGGTGCTTTCATTCGTGGTACTTTTTCAGCAATGAAAACTTTGAAAAATCATCAGTACTCTTCAGTAGAATTCTTGATGATAGTCAAAGACAGTTAATACTTTGATCAGGTCTGTGGTCCATTGTAAGCATTCACACAGATAGAAAAACTCTTCAGTACTTCAACATATTTCATACATCCAGGTTAGTATTTTTCTTTTCAGGCAGATTCTTTGGATTTCTGGCTAATAGCAACATTTAGCTGTAGCGTTCTATTGATACACAAAGAGAGAATCTACGATTAAGCTCTTCTCAGATTTCCCCGTGCTTCATCACTCAATACATGCAGACAGGTGTCCCCAATTCATAATTATTCTAAACACTCATATTTGAACTTTCACCTGGCAAGTTAAAACAAAGTCTTTGCATGCATGAAAGCGACTGTCCTGTCCTGGTTACAACTTATGAATTCCTCAGCTTTCTCAGTTATAAAGAAAACCCACAATGTCCTCTGGGGACACAGAAGAAGTAAGACCAACTGATGGACGTGTAATTCTAGTAAAAGCCATTTTTAAGAAATATCAGTGGTATTTGTTTTGCTCAGCCTCAGAATGTCAGTCTGATAGGGATGTTTCTTATTAACCTGCAACTGCTGATTTTTGGCCTCGGGGAGCTGAAAACACAGCACTGTCTTTTCCATGGAACAACTGAGGAAACACTTCTTAAAGACAAAGTCCAACATCTTCACAACACTGAGGTCATGAGTCAGACTGAGCCTCTACTGCCAATACGTCATTTTACTCTCACTACATGAATGGTAGCCATGCTCTGCCGCAGCGCATAAAGCACCAATAAAACTTGTATCTGCAAATGTCACATCAGTCAATTTCAACAACCACAAACTCCTAACTGCCAGCTCTGATACTCCCGTGTCCTTGGATTCACTCTCCGTGCAGTAAATGTGAAAGCACCGAGAGGACACGAACCCTGCTGGTCGATCAGACGGCCAAAGTACAACTGTCAATGCTGACATTCACAGCAGATTTAGTCTCCAATCAGCCTTGGCTAATGCCTAATGGAGAGTCATGAAATGTGAGGTGGATCTGGAGCAGCTGCATAAAGATCATGCAGATGCAGAATGAGATTGGTCAACTCTAGGGAAAAAAACCCCACCAATTTATTGAGCTATAATCTCCCTACTCTAACTGGGGTGTCACATACGGCCCAAATTCGATGTCAACTGGGCCTGACCAGTATAATCAAAACATAATTACCTATTAATGACAATAAGTCCATGGTTTCCCCCTTTGTTTTCCTGCAAATAAGTACAAGAACATAAGGAAAATATTCATATTTAACGAAATATAATTCCAAAACATCACCAACATGAAGGGTTTGTGTATTTTTTCCACTTTCAGAATTCATCAAATGGGCTGATAGAACTCCCTAGTACACCAGTTCTGGTCCACGGGCTGTATGTTTGACACCCCTGCTCTAAGTTGACTTTTGGTAATCTCTCCACAGACAATATTTCTGTCTGAAATAAAACTTTTTGTCATCAGTTACCTAATGTCAATAAGATGGTAGAAATTGGAAAATCAGGAAATAATGGAAAAAAATATGTTTTAAATTTAAGATAAGAAATTACAGTTTGTTTGTTTTTTCTCTATCTCGTCAAAAACAGGTTTAAAAATTGGTTTGTGCTCATACAAGTGCAGAGGCAGAAAAGTCTTCAGCCCATGTAATTGATGACAAAATGAGAAAAACAAGCACTGGATCTAATGGGGGAAAAAACAAAAACAAATGTCAACACCCTTTCACTTCAGATTACTCTTCTTCTCTGGGTAACCTGCTCTTCAGCTGAACTCTCACCACAGTACATGACAACTCTCTGTGGTGCTGCAACCCAGAGAGTCACGTCAGCAGTAAAGCAGGAAGGTTGTGAGTGGATCTATTCAGAGATACTTTGCTTCCTGGATAATGAGCCTCCAGGGTTCCGTCTGCACTCATCTGTCAGCCCAGTTCTGTGACTGGCAGGATGAAGACATACCTGCCTGCTGTGAAAACCCAGTGTGTTTCTGCCGCTCCACACAGCTGGAAAGATGGCAAGTTCAGGTGTGGTGTAGTACTGTGAAACAACACCATCAGAAATAGAAAAAAAAACCCATCCTACTGTGGCCTGATTTCATCTCTGAGGATTGGTTATTGTGAAAAGTATGAAGGGACAATTTACAGTCTTCATTTCCAGAGAAGTGAGTTCATTTTCTAAAATCTCAGAGAAATTCTTACTGACTGAGTTTTTTGGGAGAAAATGGATAAAAGACATAAAGGTAAAACAAAATGGAAATGATTGGTTTGTTTGTCAAAAGTGGTCATTCAGAAAGTGTTTTCTGCCTGGCATGTTTGTTCTTCCTAGTTAGCTCGAGATTCTTGGAAAGTAAAGTAAAATCTTTATTCTCTAAAACACCCAAGAGACTTGGGATATCAAAATAATTTCAATGGTCATTTAAGATGCATAAGGACAATTAAATGGCACAAAACATTTAGTGCTTTTTTTTGTCTTTCAGACCAAATATTTAGAGGCAAATCGTGTGTCTAGAGCAGGGGTGTTAAACTCAAATTCACAGTGGGCCAAATGTAATATTTATTGAAAAATGTATGGCAATTGTGCATGTTTTCCCTTCTCTCAAGATACAGTATGTAACGTAGAAGTTTTTTTATTTGGAAACAAAGTTTAGTTTTACGTAAACATTGAATCTGGATCAACCAAATCTTAGTAAAACCAACTTAAATTTGAAATAAGACACACCTCAGTAGTATTTGTTTCTTATTATGTCTATATATAGTGGGTATATACTAGCGGGCCAACTGTTGTACAGATTTTATATGATCTTGTGGGCCAAATGTAAACACACAGCGGGCCAGATTTGGGCCCCGCCCCTGAGTTTGACATGTGTGGTCGAGAGGTGAGTTGTGAATCAAGCCTCACAGATCACCTAAAACGTCCAGGTAATGATATAATCTAGGATAAAGATACCGTACTAAACCATGTCGTTGTAAAAATATACTCATCACTTATATTAGTGCGAGTCCTTTAAAGCAGCTTAATTAAGTCCACTGCCTATAGCACAGAGCTAATGAGCCCTCACTGCAAAGACAAGCAGTTTTAAATTTAAACCTTTCCGACACTGAGATTGCCTTTCTGTTGGCTTTTGATTTAAGTTAAAGGGACAAGGTGTACCTATGCCCTGAAAAAGTAATTTCTTTCAGGGAGGGAAAGTCCTCATTATACCATTATTTCCTTTTGTCAGTGGGACACTGTGCCAGAAAGAAAAAAAAAAGAGTGAGTAAGAGAGCTCAGCTGGGCAGTTTTTACCTTGTTTTCTCAGGTGCTTTAATATAAAGTTTAGATATGATTTATATTCTGTGAAACATCTGTATTACAAAGACAAGACTTTGTGCAATGATAAAAGTTTCAATTCTAAAAATGTAGCTGCAGACCAACATGGAAATGGAACATTGATGAAACAGCATGTCTACCAGGCTCAGACCTTGGCTCTTATTAGAGAGACAATGAACGGGTTAAAAGGTCGGATCACGGTAAAACACGACTTTTAAATAGTCCCAGATTATCAGACAGAGAAATAATCAAATCTGTCCTCACCCACTGTTGACTTTAATTAGACATCAAGTGTGCATTAGCCCGAGTTGTGGAGGAGATTTTAAAGGTTATTGCTAAAAAGCACCTTTCTCCAGTCTATTATAAAATTGATAGCGTCTAAATGTCCATCCATTCACTTGCTGCTGGCATCGGGTGTTGAATTACCACAGGAGACGTTAGAGCCAGACCTCAAAAAATGGACAAAAGCCTCCCGGGGCTGCGTTGTTCAGGACATTAGAATTCTGCGGTGATCTAAACTGACGTTCTGAAGGGAGGGCAAATTGATCTGCAGAGCCACTGCATCAAAGTTCTGTCAGTACTCACAAGTAAACTGTGTCCAAATCTCACCTGAAAAGATGGTTTGTGTTGCATCATTTAAATAAAAAGATGAAGGGAAAAAACAGCCTTGTTCTAGGGGCTTTGTGATAGCATGGTAGCAGAGGATCACACAGACCGTGTTGAGGAGCAGATGGGTCTTCACGCTGCTCGGCCCGGTGTCCCCAGTCCCTCATCTGCCATCCTGGTCTTCTGAGCTGCAGGAGCCAGATCAGACCATTTGGAGATTTGGTGCGACCATCAGTACATGCTATGGGATTTTTCTGACAGGCTCTGGCTTTGTGCTGAATGTTTTTTTTCCCGCACCACCTGGTTTGTTGTGTGGCTCCTCTGTGCCTGGTTTTGGCTCGGTTTCATTGACGAGTGAGCATGTTTTACAAAGCTGCTTTCACGCTGCTTCCAAATTCGGGGCTTAATGCAGCGATTTTTATCTGTGTATGCGGACTTCCAAAAGTCATTATAAAAAAAAAAGAACTGGATCCAGTTTAAAGGATTTAGAGGGTCGTTTTTACAGCTGCATTTTTTTTTCGTTCGTCCATTCTTTTCACCTGCAGCTGACCTATCTGCCTCCACCATGGGGAGAGTGTGAATCAAAGCCTCTGCAGTCTGGGTTTTTTGAGGTCTACAGCGTAACCGCCTGCAGAATCGATTGTGAAACACACTACATTGTGGAGAACTGCAACTGCAGGATGGTTCACATGCCTGGTAAGAAATTCTCTGGTTTTAATGATGTTGATGTTGAGATGTTTAAGTCCTTAAAGCACATGTCCAACCTGAGGATCGATGTGGCTTGCCAAGTAATTTTGTGTGGCCCAGAGGAGCTTAAAAAGCATAATTAAAAAAGAATATAGGGCAAAATATTCTTTAATTCATTCTTCTATTTCAATTCATTTCCAGGTGAGGCTCCATACTGCACACCTGAACAGTACAAAGACTGTGCTGAGCCTGCTCTGGGTGAGTCCAAGAATATATAGAAATATATATATATATATATGTATGTATGTATATATATATACATATACATAATATATTTTATAATATAATTAGTTGACAGATGGTGCTTTGGTGGCAATTAAAACCTTGGATACTTCAAAGATTTGTATAAAATTTGATTCCATTAAGTTGGTGTTTTAAAGTACTCCCTCTGTAGAACTTCCTGCCAAAACTGCTTCATTGATTGCCCTTCAAACCACTTTTTTTTTAATTCTCAGTGCCATTGCAGTAAAAAATAATATATAAAAAAGTACATTCTGCAATGGCAGCAGTTCTTTAAGAAGGAATAAGCAGTTCTGGTATTTGACAAGTATTCGGTGTATTCCACCAGATTCAACAGGTTTCCCGTTCCCAGGCTGATGCATGAAATACTTTAGTCACATTTTCGGACCGCAGCCGATGTGGTTTATTTTGTGGACATAATATGTGGAGGAAAATATAGTTGGCCAGTTTAAGTTGCATATAAACGAGAAGCATCGTTATGTGCAGCACAGATCAGCGCTGAGTACAGAGAAATCCATCAGCTCCGTAAGGATCTGAGTTATCCTGTGCAGCTGTGAAGTTTTGAGATGTGTAGGTGTCAGACTTCAGAGAGAGGTGTATGCACTTATAGAGATTTAGATTTTGTTTTTTAGCTAGTTTTAAGCATCACAAATATATTTATACATAGTAACAGAACAATTCAGAAAGGAGTAAAGTATCAGCTGAATTCTTTTCTTCAACTTGAGGAAAGTTTAAGCTCAATACTGTTAGTAACGCTTCAGGGTATTGACATCAGATCAGCTGTCATCCATGCTAATTCTAATGTAATCTACATTTTAGAAAAAAAAACAATACTTGAGGGCGGAACAAACATAAATAATATGTTGATTTGAACCCCACTGAGTGATGGCCGACCTTTTCAAAGAACAAATGTCGACCAGTGGGAGTAACAGCAACATCAGTAAAACATTGTTTCTGCTCTGTGCTGCCCTCTGCTCTTCCACACAGTGGAAAATTACTTCTTGGAAAAATGGGAAAAAAAACTCAGAGCAACAAAACTTTTGTTTAGCATTAATGTCGCAGACTTCCACTCCATAAAAGCACAGAAATAGAAACAGTCGTAATACATATTGACACAGGCCAATGTCTGTAATTAAGCAAATGACTTTTTCATGATTAAAAAAAGAAATTGGAAATCAGGAATTCAAGAAAACAAGAAGGAAAAGAATAGAAAGAAAAAGATGATTTTAAATGTAAACCACGGTTGAAAACACCTGGAGAGATGCAAACAAAAAGGCCAAAAATAAAATATAACTAGTTCCATTGTTATAAAGCTTATTGATCAATTATGCAAATAAGGGAGATTGATTAAATCAATCTGCCAATAATGTTGGCAAAACTCTGTTTTTGCTCAGTGACTTCAGTCCCAGCACAGGCACGCAAACAGCTTGGAATAAATTCTTCGTGTTCATCTAGTGCCAATTTCTCCTAGCAGAGAGATTTCCACGGAGCGAAGGTTTTCGTCTCCTATTGTATTGTGTGTGTTTTTTTAATAACCCCTGAATGTCCAGCATCTATTCAGTTTAATATAATTGTACAATTATGTCCATTTTGTGTCAAGATGCACAATACTAGATTTCCTTTCCTCATAACAATAAAGTCATCGGGCAGGAAAAGGTTGTTTTTGATGGAACCAGGAGAAAACGCTCATCTGTAATCAGTTCATTTTCTCTGAGATCTAAATGTATGTAATGGGGGGGGGGAGACTCAGGGATGTGGACAAAGGTGAGAGAAATCAATCATTTCACCGCTAACGCAGCCATGCTCTACTGTATCCAATAATGTCTCATTTGAATAAAAATAGAACTCTGAGAACTCGTATTGAATTTCTTCCTGCAATTACGTGGGCGTGTGGCCCTGCTGGCTATTAGTGCACCGTGGGAGAAGCAGCGTCGTGCTCTGTGATCTGACGGTTTACTGCTCAGTTTCCTCATGCAGAAATAAGGCTGACATTAAATTCTATTTTGGTTTGTGGTAGAAAAAAAATGTTCCACTTGTACAGGCAGTAAAATTTTTTTTTAATTAACGGATTTCTTTAGCTTATGTTGAATCCTGTTCTCTTTTTTTTTTTTTCTTTTTTTACTAATTTTAACTGTAGGAGTTTGCACATTGGGCCAAGATTTGTTCATCTTGAGGAATATGACCTCCGTCAGAGAACTTTTGGAGAATGCAGTGTTTGAAATATTTGTGCACTTAAATATTACATTCAGAGACAATAACCTGGGTTATATTGACTCCAGGGCTTGTCCACTGAGGTATAGGCTCGTATACTGTCATATACATATACATATACTGTCACTGGAGCATGTTCCCAATGTGTCAATGTAGCCATGTGCACTGTCCAGTGTATTTTTCTTTTTAGGGCTGTCAGACAGTGAGATAAATTAAATTATACAAAGGAAATCTGTGGATTAATCATGATTAATCGTGATCATAATTAGTCATGATTAATCATATAGAAATAGCTATTATAAAAATAAAAAAATATTTCCGTAGTTTTTTATATATTTAAGTATATTGCTGGAACAGTAATACACTCCTCAAGAATATTATTCAGTCCCACATTCTCTCGCAATGTATTTGAATCGTGTCAGTCAGACTGTCAGCCGTGTACTTACTGTCCTGGACTCGGTGAGGTAGGGCTGGTACAAAGCAGACGACTGACTCGAAGTTGAAGCCTCAACTAAGAAATGTATCTTTACTTTTTTTAACGACAATATTTTCAGTCATTAACATATTTTTGTCACCTGGTATATCATGGGCGAGCTTACGCCATTGGCCTGTACCAGTAGTGTTGAAGGTATTATTAGCTCTGGTGTCTCTGTTGGCAGCAACTGTCATCTATCCTGATGGGCACAGAGGGGATCTAAGCTGTGCTTTGGCACCCTCTGGTGGAGTACTTCCAACTTAAAATGCCTTTATCATTATTATTATTATTATTTTAACTAATTTCTAAGGTTCTATTGTTTTTTTTGTCATTACATAATGTAGCGGTTAGCACGCTTGCCTCGGAAGCAGAGAGCAGAGAGTCCTGAGTAGTACGGAAGATTTATTTTAATGTACTTCAAGTACTACTACTTTACTTTTAAAGTTGGGTACAATTCTACTTTTGTAAAATGTATCTTCCTCCTACTTTTATCTCCCTTCTCTCCTCCCCTCTCCATCGTCCACTCCTTGAAGCCAAACTGTCAGCCACGGAGAGCAGTAACTGCATGTGCAGGACCCCGTGCAACATGACCCGCTACAATAAGGAGTTGTCCATGGTCAAAATCCCCAGCAAGACCTCGGCCCGCTACCTGCAGAAGAAGTTCAACAAGACAGAGAAGTACATCTCGTACGTGCAGGAGCTCAGCTCTCTTTCTCCTGCTTGTCATTTGGTTTGCACAGCAAATGACTTTTCATTTGTTGCATATACTCAACGTGAGGCCAGAAATGTTTTTAAACAATACTAACATTTACAACATGTTAACTGTAAGAATAAAGTGCTTTATTTTAGCAAATCATAGATGAATCCTGACTCATAGAAATGCAGGATGATAGAAAAGAAATGAATTGGAGACGAAATGATGAGACCTGGGTGAGCGAGGCCCAGTGACTGCAGCAGCTGATCCATATTCATTTTCTCTATGTGTGCCAAGGTGCGCGTGCAGCCGCATGAACGTTCTTAGTTTTAGCTGCCCACGATATAAAGTCTCTAATCTACCTGATGAGCAGGAGGAACAGGCATCAAATGAATGGAATTATGGAAAAATATGCAATCATGGCTGTGCCAGTAACAAGATACAGTACTGATTAGAGCCTCAATTAGCCCTAATGTCCGTGTACTTGTGTGTGAACATGCTGCTAGCTTTTTCAATTTTGTTAAAAAAGAATTAGATTTCACTAAGCCTGCTGCTCGTCGGACCACTGCCCAGTGTGCGACTAACAAGGATAACAAAAAGATCATTTTTGTCTTCTTTTGCAGAGACAACATCCTTGTGTTGGACGTGTTCTTCGAGGCACTGAACTACGAGACCATTGAGCAGAAGAAAGCCTATGAGGTGGCAGGCCTGCTGGGTAGGCATTTTAGTCATTTTATCAACAGTGATAATAATAATAATAATCAATAAAACAAACCACAAGAAAACAACATCAAAAACACCAGTCCTGAAATATATGAATATGACGCCACTATGAGTGAGGGCATGTTATATTATATTGGTAATGATATTTTGAGGAGAGAAGATCTCCTTTAACTTTAGCTTCGTTGGATCATGTTGTTTGTAATGACACTAAACATAGACAAATAACAACAGAACTGTATGTTAAATTGAACACAAGTTTATCCAATGTCAACATGAGGCTCAGGGATGTCACTGTTCATCTCCTCTTTGTACGGTTGTCATCACATCCCTCTGTAGGTGACATTGGTGGACAGATGGGTCTCTTCATCGGAGCCAGCATCCTCACCATCCTAGAGCTGTTTGACTATGCTTACGAGGTCAGTCTCTACTGGCAGTAAAACCAGCTCATTATTCCCCTTACAACATTCCTCTACAGGTGCTCTCTTGTCTTTTTTTTTTTTTTTTCATTATGGTAGTAAAATTTAACACCACTCGGTTTTGTTTTTCTTTTTTTCTTTTTTTTCAGGTAAGAGTTAGCGCAATGGCCATGAAATCTGACAAGAGAAACAATGGCGCCGACATTATTAGCAGATAGCGTTAGATCTACTGTACCTCAGAGCTGACTGAAAGGAAGAAAGGCCTGATGTTGCCTTTCTAGCACTTTTGGTCTTCTGTGTACCCTTCCTGCTGCTTGGCCTGCGTCGGGGTGAAGTAGATAATAACCTCAGGCAGGGTTTTAACAAAATACACAGTTAAATCACTTTTTGCATCTTAATGGCTGACGTTAAGGTAATGAGCATAAGAAACCCTTCTGCCACTCACTTAAGCTGCTCTGACGCAAATTCGAAAACTGCCTCCATGCAGACATTTGTTGCCATATTTACCACCTAATTACCTTTTGTTTTCAAATCAAATGTTCCTTGCATATATAATAATTACAGGGAGAGTCTTGGCTTTAACACAGTGAATTAAGTGTGATTAAATTCAATAACCCTTAGGTGGTGAAGGACAGGATACTGGAGTTACTGAGCCGAGAGGAGGAGGAAGAGAGTCATGGAGAAGATGTTGTAAGTACATTTTAACCTTTTACTCTTTGGTCCACTTCGCAGGCTGTTATCTTAAAACAGACTCCATCATTAGGGTAATTTACTGTTAACCCTTTACTGACCTCTCCACACGAGCATACTGGTCAAGAACCAAAGCAAATCAATGGTCAGCCATGGCTTAAAGAAAAGAACACGGGTTGTGAAAGTAGGCTTCAACACAGCCACTAATTATTTTGCCCCAAATGGAGTTCCTTTTTTAACAACTTCACTTTGCATAAACACTGAGTCTCCACTCAAGGTATTTGCTGTCTCTCAACTGTAATAGAAAAGTATCAGTGTGCACAGCTGGATGGAGAATGCAGGTCTGTTGGAGCTGCTGTTAGATGAATCAGTCACTGAGGCTAAAGGATAAATGAAGCTGATGCTTGTTAGCTAATGCAGACACAGGCACTTTGTTCTGCTGCCACTGACACAATGCTTCATGTCAGCCTAGTACAAAGGCTCCTGCAGTGACTTGTTGTATTGTTTCTTGGAGATTAATGACTACAGACCCTCATCAGTCTGAACTCAGCTGAAACAGGTGACCAAAAAGAAATCACATTTGTTATGTCAGAGCGTCTGGTTTTAAACAAACCTTATTTGCCTTAATGAAAACTCCTGAATAGCAGCTCCATAAACATGAGTCTGAGGAATAATAGAACATTTGTCTTCGTCTCTTGAACCTAACTGTGAGTGAAACTTCGTCCCTCAAAAAAGGAATCGTTTGCAAGTCTTTAAAGAATAAGCGAAATTTGTAATGTCACCAGACCGTGTTACATACATATGAAGTTACATATTGTTATTATTATTATTATTATATCCTATGTATGTATGTATTGTGTCTGATATATATGCATGCACAGAACATATATGGTATATATATATACATGTAGTGAATGGAACCAGTTTCAGGACGTTAACCATTACGTACTTTCTTAGAATAATCTCCACCGATGCAGAATCAGCGATTTGACCCTTTAACTTTAACTGTTGTCCAAGTTTATATTTAAACGTTGGTAATGATTTTGTAATAAAGCCACAGCCTCAGTGGTGACAGGCTGCCTGGTGTGGATTGACAGGTTGCAGACAAGAGAATCATATTGGAACAAATTTTCAGCATGCCTTTAATTAGACATGGTTTTGCAACCTGATGTTGGCGAGCCAACATCAGGTTCCCATCCCATGACGTCTCATTACGACTCAGTAAGAGACTCTGAGCTGAGCCCATTGAATATCGTTGCCAGGCGGATTATCAGGTTGGAAATCTTGTAGTGTAACCAGGCTTAAGAAGAACAAATGATGATTTATAGTGTCATTAATTGTTTATCTCTAAAGACTTCATTGCTGTTCTTTTCTGCAGACCAGCCACCTGTGTTGTTTATAGGCCAGAACAGTAGGTAATAGGCAGAGTAATCAATCTACGGGGACTTGGATGTAGAAAGTACTAAAACTGTTTGAATCTTCCTTCCCAGAGTTCCTGTGACCCAGTGGCCAACCACTCAGAGTCCATCAGCCACACTGTGACAGTTCCACTGCAGACGACGCTGGGAACTCTGGAGGAAATCGCATGCTGAGTCTGTCTCCCTTCCCCTCAGAGCCACAGGCGTCCAGAGGTGGCCATCCACTAGGTGGCACTACATCCTCTGTTGGGACCTCGAGCATGAAACAACTTAGCGGCTGGGGGGAAGAGATGAGGGCAAGAGCGGGGGTGGGTCTGAGAACAGCACTGTAGTCTGTCACACCTCCATGTGTGAGGTGCTAATGGGTATTAAGGAGCTGTCGGCTGGAGTTTTCAGCCCGCTCTATCTCCCAGTACTGGAGGAGTGCAAGTGTGGCTTCCACTGTGCCAGACCTGCACTCGGTCTGAGTCTCAACAGACACGGCACAGATCCTTGGCGGAGGAACTTTCCATGAGGGACTCATCCTCGTGCAGCATATCGATGTAACAAACACATTCGTATGTCGCTCACTGCCAAATGAAGTGTAAATTATTGGTTTTGAACTGTCCAAAACTGCATGCATCAATATCTCTGCTCTCTTGCTGCTGGTGCATACGTCGGACTGCTGTTTGCTTTGTTGTGGGATATTGACATCAACCTTTAAATGTACAGATTCAACATAAGGGTTGTTTTAAACCATGGTCAGGTTTGACCAGTCGATTTCAAAAAATCAACCGATTTGTCAGATCTTACATGATTTTTTTTTAGGGTAAAAGTAAGGGTCAGGAGTGAGGAGGAAGGTCATCTAATTTTTTTAATGACAATCCAAACCTAATTTAAATTTAAAGATGGTACCGTCTGCATTTTGTATGTATGTAATTTTCAGTTTCAAGCACATTTGCTGTACGTCACGAGATTTAAACAAACTATTTTAGTAGGGCGTCCTGCACTTCATCATCAACATCTGCGTCTTCACAGCAGTACCAGGATATTTTAGTACTAACAACCATTTTCAAGAAACAACAGTGTTTTTAGGTGACCGTTTTTGTCAAAATGCAGATTGAATGAGCCGTCAAGAACCTCGAATGTCACCAATGTTTTAGAATTGAAGTTTTCATTTTGTTCAAGTGGATTATTTTCAACCCTCAAGTACAACAACGGGTTTTTTACTTTCAACATTTCCTAAAGTTGCAACAAAAAAACAATTCAGTCTGAGCTAAGCTGAGATTTTCACCCTCCTTAGTCCTGTCCTCCCCATCAGTCCTAGCTGTGCAGCCGAGATTCTCTGGGGACCATAAACAGTCCTGATACCTCTATTTAATCCTGGCACTAGATCCTTCAGTGGAAACCCACAGTTGCAGGCGGTACAATTGAAGCTGCACTCGTGGCAGCTCTGTGTGGATTGGTCCCTAATTCTCCTGATTTATCCAATGAGACCTAAGTGAACCATGCTGGTATGATGAATATTTTTTTGTTATTAATTGTTTGTATTTATACTGTGAAATCATCTGCTTACAATCATCAATGAAAAGTACTTTTTTTCTCAAGAAATTTTCTGGTGTTTTTACACCGAGGTTGTTAAATCTGAAAAGGTTACACCTTGGATCTGACCTCCAGTCTGAACCCAAACATCTTCACCTGGTCCACCTCATATAATTTATCACTGTCTCTGCAGCGACAGTTTTTTATTTTTTATTTTTTTCAGAAATCTCAGTCAGAGCAAGAGGGTTATTGGGCCCAAAAAGGCCCCCCAGGCCAGAAGTTCGAGACCCCTGCCTTACCAACCCTGTAGTAAAACTACAAAATTTGTCCAATTCTGTTATCCATGGGTTTTTAATAACTAGGTGTTAAGACTTGGAGTCGACCACTTGTCATTTCACACTCAGACTGAAGTTAATGCTGGTTGAACTTGGCAGAATATCAAACTGGAGGACAGACGGGAGGATGTGTACTTATTACTGCAGTAAATTGATATTACTAGATTATCGTAAAACTGAGAATGTCAGCCTGCTCTTCAAATGAGTCATCATAATTCTTACCAGACACAGGCTTGAAGATTTTAGCCGTCATGATAATAAAGCACCAACTCCGCATCTGTGCAGATGCTGGACGCCAAGTTAGGGTTGGAATAAGAAAAAGTGGATTTTCTTTTATTTCAAAGCCTAAGAAGCATCTAGGACGAGAGGTGAAATCTTTTCAACCAAACTGAGAGTTCAGTTTCCACTGACTTAACAGTCAGTGATGCACTATTTGGAAAGTTCAGCCAGAGTGTTTGTTTTTTTATGTGTGAAGATACTGGCTCTGCTTTGTAACATTGTAAATATCTAGTCTGTTTTGTTGTTTTCAGAAAAGCGGCTACCATGAAGATGTGCCTGGAATCTAATTTTTAAAAAAAAAGAAAAAGGTTGGTGAACATAAGCTTCTGATCCTGAAGTGACTTTATAACTGTCACATATTGTCTGAGTTTTTCTCAGTCTGCAGCACTCGGTATTTGAAAATGTTCTCTCTAGCAGGCAGCAGCAGTTTAAAGGGGACTGGATGTAAGGCTAAAAAGGAAGGACACACTCTGTCAGGCCTCTTTTGCACTCCAGGTCTACCTGAACCTTTACTCTCCTCAGAAACAACACTGACTTATATATGCTGTATGGCTGTACACCAAAAGCTTGTGTGAGACCAGTTGGAGGAGTTTTCTGTTTCTGCTCCACGATCCTTCGAGCATGGTCTCTGTCATCATGGTAATGTACATCACTGGTAGGAATGAATACAAGTGTTTTGTGGGACTGTTTAGAATATGGTTTCCCATCTGTGGCTCAACTTGCTGTCTCTGTGTATTTTCTCATGTTTTTATGGCTTCAGGAAAAAAAGATGGCGTGACATGAAAACCTGTCTAATTTCTCTTAGTGGCAGCTGCTCTAGTTCTTTCTTTTGTCTTTGGCTTCTATTGTCAGTTCTTACGGACAGCTTTTTTTTTTCATCATTGTGTGACGCTACATTCATGATGTGTTTTTAATGTGAAACAATTAAATATAAAAAAAGAATGTTTTGCAGTGGTGGCATCCTCATCCATCCTTTAAACAGAAAACATACAAACCCTAACAACCAGGATGGTTGGCTGTGTAGAGCTGGGTATTAGTTGGTTCTAGGTTGCACAGAATTGTTTTGTTTTGTTTTTTTAATATATACGTTAGTGTGCATGGTATTTTATTTTGGGGACAATCACTTCCGACAGCTTCATCTTTTGACTCAGTCACTGCTCTTTTCATGCACCAGTTAGCTCACAAATTACCTTAAGCACAAATGAGTAAAACAAAAATGTCTCTGAAGAGTTTCTTTGAAAATTGATTTAGGTCCTAATGATTTGAAAGCAGAAGACTACATTTGAATTAAAAATAAGGTTACATTTAAATTGAACAAATGAGTGGAAAAAGTAAGAAAAAATGGTATTCATTTCCTTCACAAAAAAACATGTTGGTCTGTGGAAAAGTGTGGTCCAAATTTGGTGAAAAAAAAAAATGTGACCACAACAAGGTCACTGGTTGAAATCCCATTTTCTTACTGTGGTTTTTTTCTGTCCGCCTGGCCAACTAAAAATCACCTGTAGATTTGTTTTTAAACATATGACGTTATTAGGGCGTGGACCTGTGATGGACAGGTGTGGTGTTTAGGTTTTAACCTTTCTTCTCCTGATGTCAGCCTGGATCACCTCCATCTTCTCTCCCAAAAGTGTTTTTTTCAAATAAAGAAAGATTAGATATAAGTAACATATCCGAGAAAATAGCAAAGTAGATCATGTAGTCTGCATTTAATTTAGGGACGTATGTCATTCATTTTTTTTAAATCCCATGTCAGTCATTTTGGCAGGAGGACTGGAGAACACAGGTGTTAATCACATTGATGAAGCTTTTGTTCAAACCCCACAGCCTTTATACCATTAGTAACACCTGTGTTAGTGTCTGTGTGTGTGTATGTGTGTGGCTCAAATGAAATCCCAACATGAATTATGGGATTTGTCTCTTGTTGTGCGGACGCCATGGAAACATTCTCCTTTATTTGGAGCCTTCAGTCCTGCCTCCAGATAAATGTAAGTAGAAATGTCTTCTGTCTTGGCTTTGTTTTGTTCTGCACCAAGACCTGAGAGAACATGATGCAGTGTCTCCTCTCTCGTCACCACTTGTTTCATGACTTTGTGTTTTAGCTTCAGTGTGTTTATTTCTGTTACACCATCTTCAGGAAACAGCTAAGTGCTATGGCTGAAAAACAACGCTGCAGTTGATGAAAAAGAAAATCCTGAGTGAGTTCATACTTTCATAACTTCTTGTTATTTCCTGTGTTATATCCTGTGACTGATCTTTTATATCTATGTTCATGTATTTCAGTGAACCGACAAGATGATGATCAGGAAACGGAGATGAATCTAACAAACGTCTAACAAACGTCACCGAAATGAGAGGTGGGAAAATATTTTGATTGTGTGGTACATATGTCAGGGCTGTGTGTGTGGCGCTGTGTCACCCCTGCATTAATATAGTAACCCAGAGCATTGAGCCCCTGCCTCAAATGCTCTGGATTTGTCTTAAGGGGTGTCAAACTCATTTTGGTTCAGGGGCCCCTTACAACATAATCAAATGTCAAGTGAGCTGGACCAGAACAATCATAACATAATAAGTACTTAGATAAATCTTAATTATATGTGATTATAATGTTTTTATTAATTATAAGGAAATATAAATTTACAAAATGTTTCCTGAACATGAAGGGTACTTTCTATTTTCAAAATTCATCAAGCTTCCCAGATTGAAACCCCAAGCGAGCAGCATTTGGTGTATGGGCCTTATGTTTGACACCCCTGCTTTACACGTGACTTCATGTAGCACAGAGTGGTATGAATATTTCTTTAATAGTTCCCCAGGGTGTTTGTTGTCTTGTGCAGAAATCAGATTGCTGGTCAGGTTTTCCAATGATTTTCCACTTTAGATGAAAAACTTCAAACAGACCTGTGTTTATCCCTTCTTTGTGCCCCACGAATTATTCAAAGACACGATCACTTAAAAGGAAATGAAAGTGTTAGTGTAGCAGTTGATGGACGCACAATAGGCAGAGAAGTGTTTGTCTTCACAGAGGCATTGGGTTAGATTCAACTCCAGTGCCCAGCTTCAATAGAATGTTTGGTTTTCAATATTCCACAGCTTCCCACAGTGTCTTATCAGGGAGCTGCTGCAGGCTGAGGTTCAGTATCAGGTCAGTCTCAGTTAATTTAACAAATATTTATGAAGTATCAGGAATTGCCTGCAGGTCAGCCACACTCCATCGGCATCTCATTGTAACACAGCGGTTGCTTTTTTGGAGCAGAAACCCGTGCACAAGTATGTTCAAGGACTTTGTTGAAACAATGAGATCAAACACTACACTTTTGGTAATTACTGCATTAATCCACTCCCCAAGGTAAAGCAGGAAGAGAATTAAAGGTATTTAAAAAAAGGAATGAGATCATGGTGTGTACCAAGACGGAATGCCAACAGCTAACGTTGGTCACTTTTGGATTACCAGCCTCATTTTTCACATTACATTCAATAGAAATTGGATTAGGAGGAGATTAGATGACATTTGAAGAAAAAAAAAATGTCGAGAATGTGGCATTGTATCGGAGGTATAAATCAGGTTTTTCGGTTTATTTATCAATAAATCACAAAGATAAAGAAGACTCTGAGATTCTGAGAAGATAGAGAAGATATATTTTATCTGCTCACTTATCTTTTATATAGTTTTCTGGTTTACCACCTTAAGCAGTGTTTGAAAATCATGAATCATGTTGTACTGTTAGTTGAGTGTATCATTGCATCCCTAAGGTGTGTGTGTGTGTGTATATATATATATATATATATATACATATATATATGTGTGTGTGTGTGTGTGTGTGTGTGTGTGTGTGTGTGTATTTATTTCAGACAAGTGAGCTGATGCCTCTGTTAATAACCATATTAACCCAACGTAAAGAATAAACTGTGAGTTTTTTTGACGGCTTAATTAAATCTTCTCATCGACAGTTAATCAGGCGCGACATGTTTGCGCTCATGTCAGACAGAGATAGCTGGAGCAAAATGAGGGATAATTAGTGCGAATAAATATAGTCGCACACCGACAGAAAGAAGCCACGGGAGATCACACTAACAGTGCAGAGTGTAATGAACAAAAGATTAGGGTCAAGTTATTAAAACTTAGTATCTTGGAGTAATGTCGGTACAGGACCCTGATTAAGTTCTCAATCCTACGGTGTTGATCGAGCCCCCGACCCTCTCATTGACCACATAACGTCATTTTCGAGTATGACTCGTCAGTCTGTATGCCTGTACTTCAGGCTGGTTATGTTTTGTTTTAGCAACAGAAGAAACCTGAAACCTGCTAGGATAATACGATGTAAGACAATGTGATATATAAGAGAAATGATATACGACAATAGTAAGACGCAACAGAAAATAGGAACAGCCTCAGTGCTGGGACTGTCTGTAACTCGTCAATTGTTGCTATCTGTCAGGTCACTGCATGCAACCTTGATCTATTATTAATTTTATTAATTTTCAAATGATATCTCAGAAAAGCAATACTGGAGATCTAATTGAATTTTTAACCGCACAGTAGCCCCTTGGGAATGTTTGTTGACTTATATAAATAAGAGGTAGAGTTGGAACATTATACCTCATTTTCCTAATTAGAAAATAAATCTACATTTGGTACTTTTGTTGTTTGTTTGTTTTTAGTTTAATAACTTTGTGTATTGTACCTGCGGCCAAATCAGACTTTATAACCCAATGAGTGTGTTTATCGCTATAGACCCGCCCAGGAGAAATTAAGGGGATTTTGAATATTGCTCTAAACAAGATATGTGTCAACATTCAAGGGTGTTCTTTGTGGGTGTATGAGTGTGGGCATGGTTTGAAAAAATAAAAAAAATTTACAAACTAATACCCCTTTTGAATATACATGTATTATATTCAAAATCTGAATTTTGAATTTGGATTTTGTTGAAGATCAGGCTTAATATGAGCATATTTCTGACAAAATGTAAAAGTATAAGCATTGGGTTTGATAGCTGGAAAACTGGCAACCGTTACTATATGCAGTTGACAAACAAAAAAAATCTGTAATGTGAATGAATGTAATATTAAAATCTGTAATCTGTAATGTGAATGAATGTAATATTACAACCTCAATCTATTGTGGTATTAGTAATAGCTTACCCAAAGACTCGACTTGCGAAAATAATTGTATTAAATCCACTATTATATACACTATATATTATATAGTGTATATAATGTTATAAGATAATTTTTTTCTAGGTAAAGTTGTGTTTTTTCATATGTACGTCTCTGTGCCATGCTGTGCAGAAGTTGTATTCTGCCATGTATAGTAATAACACGTTTCAGTGAAAGTTAATGGATAAACTGTACACAACTTAATAATCGCGTGTGTTTCAGTGATTAGGACAAAAATGTCATTGTTAAATCTCTGGTACAGAGCTTTGATGTAATGAGCAGTCGGTGACAAGTGCGAAATGATTAGGAAATTACTAGAGTAGCTTCCTCAAATTATGGCTGCAGGTTTCCATGTCACCATGGTAACAACAGAATCAATTGTGCATCTCATTTCAGCAAAGCGCTTGCCTCTACAGCCAACAGCAGCAGGAACAGATCAATGGCCAGGATGTGTTTAAATGCCTCAGAGGTTGATGATAGCTCATCGACTGCTTTTACACACCACCACTGCATGTTTGTAACCAGCACTTGTCTCAGTGGCACACAAGTCCAATGGATTTCCTCTGTCTCTGCCTCTCTGTTTATTTACAAAACTGATGAGTTAAGGATGCACCAACCAGAAATTAGCATATTAGCACAATCTTCAAATGTGATTTTATCTATCATCCAATAACCTGGTCATATGCTCCTTGTGTCGTGTACTGCATGGTTATTGTTTGAGTCAATCATATCTGTGTCTGCAGAGTTTTTTTTTTTCATTTATTTTATTTTGGGAACCAATAAATAGGAGCAAAACCATCAAACACAGCTCCAGTCTCTGACTCACATGTTCAACCTTCTATATAATAAAAAAAAAAAGGGAGGAAAGGATGTTTCTCTGAGTGGCTGTGGGTATAATGAGCACATTATGGTAGAGGACGTGCCCTTTGACAAAGTCTGGAATTGAACCTCTGGCATTCAGCCTTTTTGCTGAACTCCGGCCCCTGACAGTACCTCCACTCCAGTAAACAGCATTTACATGTTTTCATCGTACATTAACTGTCTCATAAACATCTTGCTGTTGTGTTTATGCGTAGATTATTGCAGCAGCATGTGGGAGGGTGATTTACTGTGGGTGGGAGGTTCGTTCGATTGGATGAAGCAGGAAGCCAAAACAGTGGAGTGCAATCTGCTGTAAGCCAACTCGGGAACAGCAGAGTAACAGTGGTGTCATATGGCAGCTGTTCACAGACTTTGGAGCATCTATACTTTCCACAAAAAGTGACATTGACAATAATATTGTAAGTGGCAAATACATACATTAATAACTGACCTGAAATTGTAGAAAACAAACACAGTTTAAGAATAAAACCAGATTTAAGGTGGACCAGATATGGGTGGATTTGCGGATAATACACGGCCTCCTGATTACTGCTAAAGAAATCATTTGCACACAGTATTTTAGAAATGAAATAAGGAACTTTTTTATTGTTTATTTGTTGTCATTATTCCGGAGAAGTCCTGAACCTACACCTACAGCTGCCAACACTAAACGATAGGCTTGTTGTGATGTTTTAATGTTATGATCAAATGTTATGTTGTCATATGTTGTAATGTCGTATTATTTCTTAAGTGTATAGTAAGTGTTTTGTATTATATTATTGTATGTATTGTGTGCTTTCTTACATCATGGCCAGGGGACTACAGATGAAAACTACCCTTTTGGCTAACTCTGGCATTTTTAACCATGTGTAATCATGTGTGTTATTTTCCTTTTGAACTCTTGGATTTGTCGTTGTTTATATACGTATGTATGGAATTGTGAGGTGACCATCCAGTCATTTGTGCTTGAGACCCCCACTCCAAAGTAGAACAACAGAAATAAGTGAATGAAAAATGTGATTAAAGATATTTATTGACAGTTTATTATGTACAGTAAGTATGTGTAAACTGAAGTAAACATTGACAATTTGCTGGGGGTTATAAGAAGATACACACACAAAAAAAACCCCACAGTAGTAGGTGTGGTTACTTTGAGCGTGTCCACTTGTCCTACTTATTTACAATGACAATGTCCTTCAGTCTAGGCGTGTTGGTCAATCTGTCCGTACGACAGACCTCTCGTAATGTGAATCAACTGACTTACCACTGAAATAGACTTCAGAATATTTGAAGTACGTCTTAGGAGAAATGAGTGGTACACTTTAGTGTTACCTTTTAATGTTGACAGAATTCAGTCCAATAAAGCTAAGTGACTTGACTGTCTGTGACTTTAAGGCCTTGAAGAGAGATGACTGCTAGAATAAAAGATTGCTGAGTTCAAAGCTGACTGTGGTGTTAGCATTAGCAATGAAGTAGCCACGACTTTGTTACAAACAAAGGCCTTTGTGTACTGATGAAATATTTGTTTAAAGTATTGTATTTGTATTATTGTTAATAGTGATTAGTTAAATGTTTACACATCACTATTAACAATAATACAACCCACTGTAATTGTAATGTTGGTTGTGCTGTGGAAGGGACTACTTTTGTAGCTGCTCTTAAGGAAAACCTGTTTGTTTGTGCTAACATGTGGCACAATAACGTGTTCTTCTAATCTGCAGGTTCTTCCAAGCTGCATTTGAGGAGGAGTTTGGCAGGAGTCAAAGGTCATTTTGGTCCCATCAACTGTGTGGCTTTCCACCCTGACGGCAAGAGGTAAATGAGTTCTGCTGAACTGAACAAGTCTCTTTAAAAAAAATAGCTTTTGATTGTTTTATTCCAGCTCATTGTTATCATTCATTGTGCCATTGTCTTAACAGGAAAAGACTTGGACTCTACCAGGTGGAGTGAAGGAGCAACTTCATTTGAAGCAGATCACTTGTTGTTTGCTGGACTTGTGAGTATTTTACTGCAATGTGTAATTGCTTGAGGAAAGTGTTACTTAGCTCATGCCATTCATTGTGCCTTAATGCTGTTGTCAGATACTTGGGTCACTTTTTAGCAACATGTAATCATTTTTTGGCGTTTGCACTTAAGGTTATTCCAGCTCATTCCATTCATTGTGAGCTGTATATGATTGTTATAAACGTTCCTGAATAATAATATTGTGTATGATCTGCATTTATTTTCAGAAATTAAGCAAAATATGGAAAATGTGAATGGGATTTCTCATTGTGTGCATTGTCAAAGTCAAGGGTATGGTATAGGTAAAGAAAGAAGTAAAGGGGGAAAAAATTTGAATTTTTTTTTTACTTAAGGGTTTTTTTTTTAAGTTAAAAACCCAACCAGAATACTTCCAGAATGAACAGAACAAGTGTAGTCTTTTAATAGCAAAACACTTAACATTTACAAAACATGCATTTAATCACAAAGTCCATAGATACACATTTTAAAAAAGAAGAATACATGTTGACACTAACATGTTGATTGTCTGCAAAGCTGCTTTGAGGAAGAAGTGTTTATGAGCATAAAGTATTTTGTAGATTGACTAGGTAGTTGTTGTCTTGTAAAGAGACTTCTAATTCTGCGTCTGTCATTCCACACCTCACAGATTTAGCTTGGGTCTCATCGGTCGTAGCCTGAATGGTAGCCTCCACCACCTTCTCCATCATCCTCTCTCCACTCTCGCTTTCTGCCACCGGTCCCCAGCTGACTGCACCATTCACGGTAAACCCGAGAGACGGCGGTTTTGAAAAATCCCAAGAGCTGCACAGTTTGCGAGACGCTGCAGCCTGTAGTCTGTTAATTTGTGTAGTGTTGCGTTCTTTTCCGCTTAAGCCAACCTAGAAGTCTGCATTAAGGAATATCACTGCCACCCACTGCGTCAGGTGTACAATGTACTGTGTGCCACATTTAAATTAAGTTGTAAACAAGATTTTATTGTATTTCATTATCGACATGTTATATATCTAATATGTGTACTCCATAGCGAAGTGGGCATGAAACTCCTGGGCTGAAAACGGGGACCACTCCGGCTCTGTACATATTTAAACATTCAACAACTGTTGAAGAAAGACCAAGCAAACTCTGTTTAAATAATAATAATAATAATGATAATAATCAGCTATCATTGGGCCTGGAAGCCAGAAATGTGAAGGTCTTAACTGGGCAAACTGATAAAACAATTTACTTTTCCAAAAAAGACAAATGAGGATTTCGATGACAATAAGATTGAAAAATTAATAATAGAAGACTTAGTGACAGTTAGGATGGTGGAAGAGAAGGCTGACAGGATGGATGGATTGATGGGTGCATGGGTAATATTATATGTGTGTACTTGTCATCAACACGGGTTCACTCAGCTGCATCAAAACCAGTACACAGTTCTGTATTTCACCTTAAGTGTTGTACATTCAATTCCAAATTAGATGTACCTTGAGCGTAAAGTATTTGGATGGGTCAGTAGGACTTGTAAGGAAAGACTCCCCATGTATCCAGGCCTGAGATGCGTACCTGTGAATTTAAGTGATAGTGTTTATATATCTATATATTTCAGGGGAAATTAGATTCACAAAATAATGACACTGTTAACCACTCCCATGTCCCTCCGTTCAAATCAACCTTTTCCATTAAAACTAACTATTACTGGTGAGCACTATATGATGTTTGTGATATTTGCTGTTTCCTTTGAGCATCAGTACATTTGTGTTTGTGTTTGTGTGAACCCATTAGGCGGTGACGGATAACTACACGCAGGCTAAACTCTGGGCTAAAGCGATGAACCTGAAGACATTAGGGGAAACCTTTAGAGAAGAGCCTCAGTCATCTATCCGGCAACTCATCCATCACTGCAAAATGTACCAGCCAACAGGTGAGATTACAACAGAGTGCATCTGTGTAGATGACTGTGTGGCCTTCATGCTGCACATTACCAAAGAGATGGTACAGATTAGATTTGATCATTTGATGGTGGGGAAAACCACAGTGCTCTGTGTGATTACCGCTACACGATGTGTTCTCTCGGTAACGGTCGGCCCCTCGTTATCATCAGTCATGAGGAACGTGTAGTTACCAGCATTTTATTGGCTGTTATGTTTCATAGCAGGGTAAAGAAACAGCAGTCTGATCCACCTCCTGGTGCTCCAAAGCTGTTACAATTAGGTGGTGGACGTTTTCATCACAAAACAATTCTGCCCTAAAATGTCCTCATCACCAACCACTGGCAAAAAATATGTCCCCGCTGCCAGAGGTTCGGTTGTGTTTGTCTGCTGCCATCGAGTGGTAAAGGACTGGTTTGGTTTTGACAGCAATGAAAAATGTGAAGTCTCAAGTGATAGGGTTGTTGTGAGGGTTTCCTCTGTTGAATATTGTACAAAGGTTTGTTGCTTGGTGTCAAGATAGCTACCGTCAAGATGTGGTTAAAATTGATGAAATTGAGGCGTAAGTTGAAAGACCAAAATCAATAATCACAAAATTAAATGTTAAAATGTAATATATATGGTGTATATAAGACTACATTATTGTTTTCATTGTCCATGACAAAGCTACAGAACTGTAACATGCAGATTGCATTGAACCAAAATTGGCAAGATGTGTTGCGTTGAATGTGAAATTCTCCAATGCTTTCTTTAATTCTAATCACAGTAACACACACAGTGCTTATATACAACATTAATATTTACTGTATGTACTATAAAGTGGAGGAAAGAATATATGCATAGATTAAAAAAATATTAATAATTAATAAAAGGTTTTTGTTATTTGTTAAACTATGTCTCAGTGTTCTGCTTAGTTAGAAGAACTAGAACCTTATATTGTGACCTGCTGCTACTCTCATTAGCAAGTTATTTTATTTTAAAGCTTGTTTCCACGAATTTGAATCTGTCACACCATCATTAGTGAAGTTATTCCAGTCCTCGGCAGGGGATGTGAGATACTTCCTAATAAAGTTGTTGGAACATTTAATTCTTTGTGTTTTTAATGAATAACTGTACTATATGTTGGAAGGGTGGTTTCTGGACTGCCTTATAATTATCGTTAATATTAAGAAGGTTTCTATTCAACAGTTATGCTTGGCTAAGTTTCAGATCTCACTGTATTTAGCAAAGTTTTAGGTAATAACAAATGACATGTTCCATAGTCAAAAACAAAGAGTTGAATAGTCAAAGAAAAGAGTTTGATTAATTGATTCAACACAATGGTCCAACAGTTTTTTGTACTCTGAAAGATTTACATGTTTTTGGTGATTTTTGAAATATTCATATAAAATACTTTTTGGACTTTTAAACACAAAGCATTCACTTGGCAGCATCTTTTGGTGTATAAAGTTGTATTTAAAGGCATTTCGGGGACTTTTTATTGTTTTTGCATTTTTCATGATAGTAAGGCATGTTTATAGTAAGGATGGCATTAAAACCCTAATTATTTAAGAAGGGGCGTAGTTGGCGAGCAAAACTATGTGGCAGTGGACGGCTTTGTTTACATTTGCTGGTCAAACTGTTCATCATGGCTCCCAGGTATCAGTCAGACTGTTGTTGTGTTTTTATGTCCTAGATTATGATGTAACCACTGAGGTGAGTGACATTAGTACTGATGTGTTTTACGACTTATGGTGAATATCGAGGTACTTAACACAGCAAGAATGGAACTTGGACTGAAGTCGAGGACCCCTCTGTATTCACAGATTGTAAACCACAAGTATTTGCGGTGCTTTCAGACGTCCCCTGAAGATTTGTTATGTATAAACAGCATAGATTTTCCCATCAGCTCCCCAAAATAGATTTAAAAACCGTCCAGCTGAGGTGGAAAACCAGCAGCGGGAACATAATCCACAGCAATTGTTTGGGCTGTATTTTAGGCACAGAGGTCACGGATCGTCTCAGGTCTTCCTGTCTGCAAGTGTTTCGTTTGATTGTGCTTCCAAATAGAAAATAATTAACCCGAAATGCAGCTGCTGATCACGTGTAAGCAATCATCCCAATCTAAAAGTTACCTTTGATGAAACACACACAGTAATTTGTCATGATTTACTGGCTGAAGTAACCGTGTAAATGTTTTGTGTGCTTTGCTTCATTTCTGACCGTCTTTTAATGTCCTCTCCTCCAATGTGTCGTAGGAATATGAACCCATCATCTACCACCCCAAACGCTCCTCCCAGAGTGTACACCAGGACTTCACAGTTCAGTGTGAAAAGATGGACATTCCTTTTCTTTCCTATCTACCCACAGAGGTCAGACACATTTGTTTTTAAATACTATTACCCGTTTACAGTAATGTCATGTTTCTGGAGCTGCTGCTTCTCAGTTTGAAATAACGCCTGTGGGTTTCAGCACTCTTTAAAGTTTACAGCACTTGCCCCACTCCAAATGTAATAGATTTCATCAGTTAAATAATAAGAAGTCTGCCCGGGTCAAAGCAGTTTAACAAGAAAACAAGCAAAGATGGAGCGAAACCTGGAAAATAAAAAACCCATTTTGTTTCTAGCGCTTTTAAATTGCTGGTCTGAATTGTGTAGTCATGTTATAGTTTTTTTTTTTTTTTTAATTTAAAAAAAAACCCAGAATGTTGTAGAACGTTGTATGGTTGTCTTTTCCGTGATGATCATGAAAACAGATCCCGTTGGTATTTCAGTAGAGGAAATGGAAAATTATGTAGAATGGCTTTACTGTCTGCAGTGAATGCAACATTTTGGTTCTTGCTCGTGTTCCGTACTTTCCGCCCAGAGATTAGTAAAAAGAAAGAAATACGCAAAACGTATTTAAAAAAATACATAGTATGTATAGTTGAATGCCAGAAGCCTGGCATGAAAGAAAGAAGACACAATACAAGGATGTGAATACTACTAGGATTTAACATTTGACCTCCCAGCAGTATGTGGTTTTAAGAATGTTTTCCTTCAGACACTTTGTCATGTTTATACTAATTACAGCTTGACTCTCATAAATGTATGACTTGTTTCTCATGAAATAACAACTTTTTTCCTAAACCGTTTTGACTTTATTGTTGAAACGTATCGACATTAATCTCAGACGTATTTATTTGTATTCTCAATGTGGCCGTAATACTCATTGCACATTGATTCACACATTACAGTTCCTCAAAGGTTTGTCATATGTTGGGAGCGACTATGTTTTAATATGTCAATAGTTCATCTTCTGTGACGTCTGTTTTTAGGTGCAACTCATCAACGATGCCTACAACCTAGTGATTGATGCTATGCTGGGCCCAGAGTCTGACCCCACTAATGTTAAGGAGCCGCGTCCTGGTATTCTGTGCAGCTTGAAGCAGGTCAAGATTCCCATTGCCAGTGTGGATGTTCCATCAGGTGGATTTACTTTTCACCAAAAACAATGTATCAGACATGAAACACATGAGAAATGAGCCTCCAGACAGCTGCCCAGCAGCACTGATGTCCAGACAGAAGTTTGGAGGTGAATGGGGAGGATAAATGTAACGCTGCACTGGGGTGGTCGTACCCAGAATGCACTACCTGCTGATCCTGAGCATGAAAACTGAGAACATGAACAGGATCCCACATGTCATGTACCTGTGTGTGTTTTCCTCAGGTTGGGATGTAGAAGAGCCGAGTCAGGACGGGATACACCCCGAAGTTCTCATCTCGCTCACAGCACCGAAGAAGTGCTCCATGAGTTTCTCTGGCAAGCACTTCTTGGCCGGGCGCTTTCTGCCTTATGACATCCAGAAGAAATATGAGCTGAACCTACCGGACTACCCTGGCACAGACTGTGTTATAGAACTGTAACACACCAGCTGTGATGCTCTGATGTACCCATTTTAGTTGCGTAAAACAGATTCCACTTGAGTTTAATGTGCTGTTGAGGTAGTGTAGACCAGCGGTCCTCAACCTTTGTAGTGCCACGGATGGGTTAAACGATAAGACGGCCAATAAAAACTGGTATTTCCTAAATACAATAATAAACGTTTAGCCACTTTATTAGCAGCATCCTCGTAACATGGCGCTAGTCTTTCAATGCAGAACGCCGGTTTTGAAGGCTTCATCGCCTCATTGGAGAGGTGTTTGCCATGTCGGCTGGAATTGGGTGCAATTTTCTTTGAAGACGTAGAGTTTTCTTCTGTCTTCTCACTGGCTCTTTCCCCTGCGCTAAGAAATTTCCCAAAGACGTTTGTTGTTTGTGATGGAGACGAGCATCTTCACGTCTCAAGTGTGAGTCATAGTCATAGGTGAAGGAGGGAATAATTATTCAAAAGAAAGCATCGTTCAGAATCAGATAAAAAGTAAAACGGAAATAATGGAACCTGCGGACCGCTGCTGGTCTGTGGCCCGGGGGTTGGGGACCACTGCTGTAGAGGGATGTTATGTAGCAACTAAAGTGTGAGTCATGTGTTTTTAGAGAATGGCATAAAAGAAATCTGCGTGTCAGACTTCATAAAAAGCCGTAGCGTTGCACTGTTTCCCAGTTCCATTTGATAAGACCGTACAATGAGGGATGAGTTTTATTTTTTACCGATGTCGGAGGCCGTAAGTAATTTATGTTCCTATATATTTCGTATATTTCAGCTGTGAGGGTTGTATGTTGCTGTTTTCATTTCTGCAAACCACAGATATATGTGAGCTGAGTAAATAGTAGGTTTTTATATGTATGCATGTCTACAGATGTGCACATCAACGTAGAAGGATTTTTAACAACAGTCAGAAAGAAGGGAATGACACTGATCCCATGCATTTGTAAGTGTGGTTAGGTAAAACAAAATCCCACCTGGATAAAGCATTAGTATGTTTTTGTTGGGTGTGAGAGTCAGTAATTACAGGCCAAAAGAAATTCAGACACCGAGAGCACAGGGAGAAAACGTTCAACCGTGTATTAATAAGGTAAGTTGAAAACCAACGGCATGATGCTTTATTAGTGGCTGTATTTGTAAATGTCTTTTTGTAATGTAAGATTAACCAATCATGACATTGGCGTGTAGTGTGTGTGGAGGGGATCAGGAAGCTGGTCGTGGTCCAGACCGGACTGTTTGGTGTGCCAGATTCGGCCCATGTGCCGCTGGTTGATGATCACTGCCGTTACTGATAATCCAGTTGACGATGACTGCCCTAAACGTGGTGGAGAACCGCGGCGGCTGTAGAAATGCTAACAGGCTACATTTAGGGCCGATAAGTAAAAGGTGAAAATCAGAAAGATGTGTGATAGTTTGCAGAGAGGTAAAATATCAACACTTTTGTCATATGAAGGTGAGGTGGTAAATGTAAGAGTTGAAAAGAAGTTTTGCTCAACAGTTGTATTGGGGGCAGCAGTGCCACCCAAGTTCCATTTGATAAGACCGTACAATGAGGGATGAGTTTTATTTTTTACCGATGTCGGAGGCCGTAAGTAATTTATGTTCCTATATATTTCGTATATTTCAGCTGTGAGGGTTGTATGTTGCTGTTTTCATTTCTGCAAACCACAGATATATGTGAGCTGAGTAAATAGTAGGTTTTTATATGTATGCATGTCTACAGATGTGCACATCAACGTAGAAGGATTTTTAACAACAGTCAGAAAGAAGGGAATGACACTGATCCCATGCATTTGTAAGTGTGGTTAGGTAAAACAAAATCCCACCTGGATAAAGCATTAGTATGTTTTTGTTGGGTGTGAGAGTCAGTAATTACAGGCCAAAAGAAATTCAGACACCGAGAGCACAGGGAGAAAACGTTCAACCGTGTATTAATAAGGTAAGTTGAAAACCAACGGCATGATGCTTTATTAGTGGCTGTATTTGTAAATGTCTTTTTGTAATGTAAGATTAACCAATCATGACATTGGCGTGTAGTGTGTGTGGAGGGGATCAGGAAGCTGGTCGTGGTCCAGACCGGACTGTTTGGTGTGCCAGATTCGGCCCATGTGCCGCTGGTTGATGATCACTGCCGTTACTGATAATCCAGTTGACGATGACTGCCCTAAACGTGGTGGAGAACCGCGGCGGCTGTAGAAATGCTAACAGGCTACATTTAGGGCCGATAAGTAAAAGGTGAAAATCAGAAAGATGTGTGATAGTTTGCAGAGAGGTAAAATATCAACACTTTTGTCATATGAAGGTGAGGTGGTAAATGTAAGAGTTGAAAAGAAGTTTTGCTCAACAGTTGTATTGGGGGCAGCAGTGCCACCCAAATGATATTGCACTGTACCTAAACCTTCTTGCGGGTGGTGAGTCCACTGGGAGGTACGTAACCGGGATTCGATCTTGGACAGGAGGTGAACCCTGGGGTTCCGCACCAATGACAGAGACATTGCCTCTGGGCCAAAGCGGTACTGGGAAAAAGTCAGGTAGGAAAAGCTACAGAACGGCGCCGGCTTGTGGCGTCTGTCGCTAGGCAATGGTGACAGCTCGCCAAACCCGCGCCTTTGAAAATGTTCGGTAAAAGCGGTAGTGGCCAGCGTGTTGGAAAGCGAAAACGATTCCAACGGTGCAGACGTCAGCGGGAAGACGAGAAGAAAGGTAGAGGAGAGTTGGGACAAAGAAACGGTAGAGCGGGAAAAAATGGGCGCGGCGCGTGACGTCGGACCCCGGAAAAGGTCGCCGGCCGGCATAAAAGCCGCCGGTGTAGGTCGTTATGTCAGTCGGTGGACCAGGTCCGGTCACTGACTCAAAGGTAGGTGAGGTAAGTTCGGAGGTCCTTGTCACAGTTGGCGTTTGTACTGCTTGTGTTAGCTTTAGCGAAGTAGGTTTGAGCAGGCTTAAGGTTGAAGGCGATTGTATGTTTATGTTGTGCTGAAACGAAAAGAAGTCGACGGCGGAAGGTGTGGAAGAGTCTTTGCTCTTGGAATCATGTCGTGGTGAGTGGATTGGAGAAAGAGGTCGTCGTCATGGTGTAAAAGTTGTGATCAACATTGTTTAGAAGTGAACAGACACGTTGGGAGTTGTGCACACGGAGAGCAGGTGGAAGTGGTGTGCCGTTGGAGTCCACTCGTGACAGCGAAAGACATGGTTGGCCTCCCGACGGAAGGACAGTGAGTAGAGGTTTGTGGGTGATGTGGTCATTTGTCGAATGTGTGACCAATGTGATGTGTGAGTAGGAGTTGGGGGACCGGAGGTGACGGAGTAGGAAGAAGATGGATCCTGGTTGAAGGCGGAGAGGCTAACGTGGACTGCATGAGAAGTCGGAGGTAACGGGGACTGGATCAGAAGTCCTGTGTGCCGTGGGTGAGAGAAGGTGAGTATGGAGTTGTAGAAGCAGGATTTGGAGTCTTTGCCGAGGTAGTGTTGCTCAGTGTTTACTGTGATGCGATTGTACCGGCTGTTGTGCTATGTTAATTAACAGAAGTCATTCCCACGTAGGCGGCGGCGCTGAAGAGTCGACCACGAGAGGGAGTGTGGGCTCGGACGAGGCGTTCCCAGAGTGACGTCAGGGGTGAAACCTGCTAATGAACCAGACGCC